AATGCAATTACACCAGTAAACCTTGTAGATTTTATTTTTAATGCTCTTCCGGAAGATTATTTATTTGAGTAAAAAGATTTATAATTTTGAATCCAAAAAAATTATTGGAGAAAACATAATGAATCCAAATAATAACAAATGGTTCGATAGTATTAATAAAAACAATATTCCAAATATTTATAAAAACCGTAATCATAATACTTCTAGCTGTAATAAATATTACGTTTATTGAGTTTATTCGAAATAAACAAAATTGCTTATCGGTATTATTTTGGTAGGTTATAAATTTTTTTTCGGTTATATTTTTTGTTCAAGTTTATTTGGTGCTCGATATATTTGCCACGTGGTGTTCGAAACTTTTTTGGGTGGTGATTTTACCCCGGTCATAATCTTTACACCTTCTCTTATGTTTGTATATATAAAAAAATATGAAATAACTAATGTGTGGCAGATACATAATTAATTTGATGACTGTTCGTTATTATCTTGTGATGCGATTCATTATACATATTACTATAAATATGGAATAATTGAAACAAAGCTGGATAAATCGGGATAAAATCGGGACAAAATGTTTAGGTTTTAAAAAAATGTCAACGGCGCAAAATTTTAATAAGATAACCTACTTTCGGTTTTTAAACATGTTTAAAATTTGACTTTGGCACAATTTATAAGTTAAAAATAGGAATATTTGATGGGATGAGATAAGACGTATAAAACGGGACAAGACAAGGCATAAAAAGGTTTGAGGCCAGAACGTATATACGTACGTACGTACGTTTGGCCGATAACAATTTTATTCATATGTTACTGGGATAATATCGTGTTGTGATAAAACATAATAATACGAACGAACGTGCGTTTATTTATAACTATCAACTGACTAAATACAGGATAAAAAATATAAAAAATGAATTAGTCTGAACAATGAACAGGACATCTTATACATGAATTGTTATTGTTGTTATCGTCACCACTGCCATTGTTATAATTATTATCTTCGAAATTATGTGATGGTTGTCGTCGCGATGGTTGTCGTGATGATCGTCGTTTTTTAGTTACACGTTCATAAACGTATACTTGTTTTCTTTTACTGCGACGTTTATACAATGGTGTTGTTACTATTGCTGGTGATAATGATGATGATATTGTATTATTATTATCATCATTGTATGTTGGTGGTGTTGCTATTGCTAGTGATAATATCACTATCATTATATACAGGATCTTCATTAACCGAATCTTTATCCATTTCCAAGTTATTTTGCAATTTTATGTTTTCTTGTATTTCAGATAGTTTGTACCGAAGATGTAATAGTTCACCCTGAATGCGAGCTTCTTCTGTTTCACAGACCAAGATATCTTCTTTCTAATTTCAGAAAAATAATCATAAAGCAAAGCTAATATATAAATACAAAATAAGTAATTTTACTTACTATTTTATATTCTAAGATTATATCATTCCAATAATTCTCAAAATTATAGCGTTTCCATTCTGAATCAACCTGCAATAAAAAAAAAATTGTTAACAGTATGTAATTTTTATTAATAGTAGAGCATGCCAAAAACCAAATAATTTAAAGTAAACCCTATAGTATAGAGAAATCAGATAACAAATGACATGCCCAAAAGGAAAATATATAGTTAATTCCTTCTTCAGAATCAGGCCTTTACCAACAACAAAATTAGTTAGCCCGAATAGAGAACCTGAAGTGGTTACCAACTTGTCATACCTGGTAATTTTTCTAGAGTCTCAGAACATACTAGAAGTTTGCCCTAACTTTGCAAAATAAAAAAATACACATCATTTTTTCTAAATCTTCATCGAGTTTTCTTGCTTTTAGTAAGAAATTTCTAACCCAGCCACCTTCGAGATTCTGTCTATGAGAAATAGGTATAGTGGTATTAATGATTGTATCTCGATAGCAAAGTAGGAAACCCCAAAAAGATTTTTTATATCGCATTAAATAAAACGTAATTTCTTCATAACCAGGATATTTCTGTTCAGAAGTCATGGTATAAAAAAATGAAACTTCTTAAACATGTAATTTTCCCCTTAAATAACACACAAAAAATTGGTTTTGATCAATCGAATCTCAGGATCAGGTGTAATGTAAAAATCGAAACACATAATTTTTTACTTAGAAAACAAAACACGTGTTTTGGCACCTGATCTTAAATTTTGATTAGGGGCACCCTTAGAATAGACCCGGGGTTTACATATTTATAATAACTTAATTGTATATATCATATGATTTTGTACTCTAAAAAAATTATTTATACATGGGTGTCCATGCTAAATTTGTAAACCCCGGGTCTAACCTTAAAATTGCTTTTGATTGGTCTGTCAATCATGTGATCAATGATCATTTCCAAGGTCAGGTATGTATAATTTGATTTTTTAATTAAAGATAGGGTAAGAGTTAGTATGAGGTTATAGTAAAATTTCTTTTCTGATATTTTTTGTTAATGCCCCGAGGTGGATTGAAGTAAAAAAAATGCTACTTATAAATTTTAACAGAATAATAATTTTTGTCACTAAAAATGGCTGATGCTAAAATTTGGAATCTCGATTTAAAAATATAAACTCTGCTAAAATTCACATATACTTTTTAATTATCAATTCTAAACCTAAATCCTAACCTTACCCTAAAAAAAAAACAAAAAAAATGTTTTAAAATTTTTAGCATCAGCCATTTTTAGCATCAGCTGTGACAATTTTTAATGCATTGATTCTGACTGTCATTGTCAAATGTGTATCTTAAAAAAAGTAACATCTTTAAGCTTAATAATCCTTTAATATAAATAATCTTTATTAATCAAATCACCTACTAACTATGACGCAAATCACTAACTCTTTCCGACGATCACTTGTACCAAATTCTCTCTAAAAACAATTGCACTTTACTCTT